TCTGCTCAAGCCATCTGCCATGTGACACCCTGCATCACTGAATAGCGTCACCACCACCAAGGCCCTCACCAGATGTGTTCCCTGGACTTTGAACTTCCCAACCCCCAAAACTGTAAGCAATAAATATAGTTTCTTTACAAATTACTCAGTTTCAGGTATTTCTGTTATAAACAGCAGAGATGGACTAATATAGCCACTAAGCAATGATATGAGTATATCAACCAATATTGTAGTAAAAAGTTGTGTTTGTGTGAATGGAAAATCATTTCCAATTTCAATTATTTGAGGTATTGTGGGGGAATGGAAAAAGCAAAGATTCTAGTGTCAATCCCAGCTCTGCCTCTTACTGTGTGACCTTGGGTAACATCCTCTGTGCCACTAGTATCATAGTCTATAAAGAAAATCCCAAGGGTCATTGTTGCTGTGGTCATTAAAGGAGGAAACTGCTTAGGCTGTGACTGGAGAAGAAAAGTAAGTATTCAGGTTGCTGCCCTTCCCTTCTGCTGCTCTGACCAGGGACCCAACCTTGAAACTAAGCTGGTCGGACGTTGATTCAGTGAACTATGGAGCTTCAGGAGATTCCAGACATGCTAATGAAGACCAGTGAGCATATGGCCCCTGCAGCAAGGCTAAGGTTACCTGTACAGCATCAAAGCTGCAATCACCACCAAAATCAGCAGAATACTGAGGAGTCCACCAATGGCATAGCTGATGTGAAGTCCTTCCCCTAGGAAGAACAGAAAGACACTAGGCAGAAACCACTGAAAGCCTTCTAGCTGGTGCTCGCATGAGGGATGGAAAGATGAAGTCCTCCTTTTGTAGGTGTTGGATTTGACATCATCTGAGAATGGCTAGGGGCTTCCTACTCAGAAGAGGCCATGGGAGGAAGGATGAGGAGGCTGAGTAGAAACCTATCACTCTGCTGGCATCTCCAATCCCAATTCCACCACTTACTAGCTAAGTGACTTAAGGCAAGATGCTTAACTTACAAGCCTACATTTTCTCTTTAGTTAAATGTAAGTAATAAATTGCTCATAAGGCTGGCAGAGAGTGTCTACATGTACACATAATGCACACACATGTATATGGCATATATAGCCTGACATATGGAAAGCACATCCTAAGTGGTGGCCACTATGATT